GAGGTTTTCGTACGTCCATACTCAGTGTTGGTTGTTCTCCTTCCGATAATACCTGGGACATTTGAGCAATTGGTATAGGACTGATCAGAAGTGGTCTTTGTGGATACCTGTGAAGTGATACTCCACGGGGACGCTTGCGGAATTTCCCTACGTTAAAGTCGACTGAACGAACACGCCTGCTATCTAAATAGCTGTCCCCATGCATGTGTCGGAAATCGCGCAAAGCTGATTCACAGTGAAAACAAAAACAATCATCCGGGTCTCGCAGAGACATTTTTTCGCTCGGTTCAAACGTCCAACTTGTGTCTATATTAGGCATACTGCCCCGCAAGAATATATAATGTCGATGACGTCGTCTCTTTGCCCGATGCCGACAACATGGATATCGATCGGGAGAGTGAATTCGTTTCATCGAATGATCTGGTTTATTCTTACCACAGCGATAACACAAATGATCTTGAATGTAGAGATCAGATAAATGACCACTGGGTAACCAAGGTGATTCCGATCGCTGATGTTCCACAAATCGTGTGTCCCATGCCCATACACCACCAACACTAGGAGTTGTTTTACTTTGAACTGATCCAAGGTCCACAGAATCCGAGAGAAGATCCCGTTGACTTCCTTCCGGGGACAAGGTATGCGACTTCACTCCGTACAGCTCAGCTACGGAGGGATCTGGGGATCTAATGGATACGGGCGATAAGGTTCGAGAACGGCTAGTGCCCATGTATCGACAATGGATACAGGTACATGGTTGATCTAATCGCCGTTGAGAGCTACTTCGTGGAAACGTAGGTGTGGATGTGATAGAGGTCGGATATCCGGCGTTTGAGACCAATGGTTGATGGTCATCGACCGAGACCGTCTCTTCCGGTTGTGCACTGTTATTTGTTTGAGTTGCAATCAAATCGATCCACCTGGTTCGTGAACCGAGGTTGAGGAAATCCGTACGGCATTGTAGTACAGTTCTCAGTGACACAATCACCACGATGTTGTATGTGGCGCTGAAAAGCACTACTAACCACTGTTTCTGTTGGAGCACAACAGGGATCACTAGTAGCCAGAGGTGAATCCGGAAATTCGTTTGTCCGTTACAAATTAGTTTACAGTCACGTTCCTGAAATAGTTAATCGGAAACGAGCTCAGTAGACTTTTGAAACACTTTATTAAAGTGATAATAATGAAATCTTTGATGAAAAAATTGTTTCTGATTTTAATTGAGTTACAGTTCAATATCATAAACAACATGAACGGATATTGTAGGTGTCCATCGAACGGTTCACATGCCACAATCAATAACAATTGAATGGAAAGCGCAAGGGATAAAGGGAAGTGATTGAACAGTTAAGATTCTGAAATGTACCAACACGTTCAGTGTTGTAAATTTATCTAAGAAGTACAATCAACATAAACATAAGACAGATTACAAGTGACTCCCATTGACTGCGGAACTTTAGTTAATGTGGAAGGCTCTCGTTTGTGGACATTATACTGCGACATTATAGGGTCATGAAGAAAGACCTTTTCCTATACGTAAAGGCAGGTAATTTACCAGATTGGGCACTGAGCAGACACTAATTGGGCATTCAACGTCATTTACTGGGGTTTAGCAGGCACCCAGACACACTGGAAACGGTTGAGACATTTGTCATTAGTCTCCTCAAGTCTGACCCGTGGGAATTAATAAAGTTTATCTAGGCAGTCTAATTTCCCTGGCCGAAACGAGACCATGTGAATCTGGTGACGAATTCAGGGACTTGACCATCGTTTCACAACTGGATTTCCCCTCCACCACACATCACGTATTGACCCAGACTGTTTGCACTGATCACATTTCCACGGTGCGATTGCTCCATCATCTCACGTCGTCTNACGTCGTCTTGACCATCTGGCCCGTGACCTGAAACAATTAAACCCCCTCTCTGTGATGTGATTGGATCTCTAAACCTGACACGGGCCTGTCTAACCACCGGTTCGTAATGTATGTGATATTCTTGTTGTCACCCGTCTGGTGATGGCCCTCCCGCTGTGGCTATTCGAAGTTCACTAGGCATTCTAAAAGCTCGCAGCCGTGTACAAGGTAAGGGTTCTCGCTCGGGTTAACTGGGTAAGTGTCAATTCTCTTGCTGTATGTAAACCATCCAACTGATTGATGGATGGACGCGCGTTAGGAGAACAAGTTATGAATCCTATGCTACTTAACGTTACCGGGGAATAACCAGAGGAGAATGAGTTATGCGATGATGCCATAGAGAAATTCAGAATGGCAGAAATGTCTGCTACAATTATATTATGTAGGATATAGACATTATTTTTCTACAGAAAACCTTGTCTTCGTTTTCACTTGTTTGTTAATTTTTCTCTACACAGTTTGTGACAGGTCCGGAGCAGTCCCTTTGATTTGTTATTGATGATTTTAGTCTTTCTGATATCTCTTCCTAATAACTTTATGTAGCATAATTCACGTACTTTTTCCAAATGACTTGGTATCCAACTCTGTGGTATCTTTGTAAACAACTCGGGCATTGTTTTCTCAGAAAAATGAGCAGCTATAAGTAACTCAGACCACTGTTCTATTTTGGAGTTGGTAAGTTATTCAAATGGCTCTGATTCACGGACTATGGTTAAGCCAAATTTGGAATATATTTCAGGTAGGGTCACCCACCCCACTTTCGGAAAGATATTGAATGTCTAGAAAGAGTGCAACGTCCGGCTACAAGAATGACAACAGACAGGCAACAGTAATGGGGGGCAGTTTGAAATTGCGGCGTGGTCTTGTAAGGTTGGACATACGTACCAAGTTTTTTACATGTCTTGTAGTACCTAGTTGGAACAGTTTTTCTGAAGAGGGGGTGTAAGAAGCTCAAATGTCATAGCCTTTCCAGATGGCCTTAGATGGCTTGTCAGCTTATTTATTCCTTGTTCGCCATCAGCTCCGTTGCCTATGACATGGTACTGCACCTCACATTCTGCCTTGCAGAAAAAGGTCTCTATTGACTAGCATTACTGGAAGCTAGAAGATCAGTCAACTACACAAGAATCTAGACACACGATTGGTCCGGGCTTTACAATGTGTCGTGGAACCTGATTAAAACTGAAATGAAATGAACTATGCCCTTTTTATTTGGAATTGTGTCTCGAACAACCTATCTACATTCTAGTTGTTTGGTTTGTGAAGGAACCCTAATTGCTGGAGATGTGTCTGAATAACCCCCATCCAAAGAAAGGATTTTCAAAGTGCCGGTTGATTGTTTTTACAACAACATTATTGAAATTTTAGAGTATCAAGCTTGGATTAACTCATTCGATTGTTAAGAGGCACCAAGCACTCTTGATGGTCTTGGGTGTGGATTGCACTCCTTGGGAGATTGGTAATTCCCTATGACAGTTTGTCTTGCACTTGTTATCCATGACTCTCATCAATTTACTTACAACCCTTCTCCTTTTAATTTTTAATTAGCGGCTAACGTTGTTCATTCTGGTTGAGTGGGATCGATCCCACTTAAAAGGCAGTTGTAAACAGTGCTAGCCTTTATTGGTGACGCCGACCAAAAGTGGAATGAGTTGGGGAGAAGCGTGTAGTAATTATAGGGGTGATCACAATCTAGACATTTGTCCAGAATAGGGTTTGCTTGAGCGGCGACGGAAGGAATACACACCTCAGGTGACGGTACTCTGTCCGTTACCCTAACG